TCTATTCATTCCTTAACTTGAGTAAGATTTTGAATGCAGGACTTTTAATTTTGCAAAAAAATCTCAGAGATTAAAGTTTCAATTTATTTGAAAAATGTAGGTTTTCATTTAGATTTACCGGTGAATTCCAAAGAAGAAAAGTCACAAAGTTTCGCAAAATAAGTCGTACATTTATGTGAAAAGTTTTGACATTCTCTGAGATTATTAGCAAATTTACATGAAAACAAACGTGGAAAACAACGTGGTACCTTGACAAAACATTTTACGACTTTATTATTCCCAGAAATGTACGACTTTTATCTCATAAACCTCGAGTTTTTTCTCTGAGTAATACCCCCTCTCCCCCGGCTCCTACAGTGGCCCCAATACGCCATCGCACATGACAGCTCCACTACTGCTCTGTATGTGATTCTGCGTGGAGAGATGGTGTTTGTGCTGCGACTGGCTCTCAGCACGCCTGCATCATTCATGAAGGATGATTGTCTTGCGGCTGCTGCTGATGGATCCTGATCTTTCCTCTCTAATGCTTATCAATGAACTACAGGTCTGGTCCTCTGTGAGTCAGAGGGGAAGTGGTCACATGTGAAGAGTCTCTTATGTAACAGCTGCCTGAAGGCTTTTTAAATACCTTTTTTATGGCTGTAGTAGGAGAGCAGGACTAGAAGATGGGATGTTTATTTTCGAAAAAGTAAGCTGGTTTTATCAGAGGAAGAACTCCAAAAAGTGACAGACCTGCTGAGTCTAGTTAGAGTCGCTGTGTTGTGATTGGACACTGTTTAGGAAATGGAAGGGTTAATCGAAAGGTTTGGACCAGACGGCAACCTCCGGTCCTGCCAAGAGAAGCTAAAGCTTCATGTGTTAAAGCTGCATTCTCTCTAGTGACCACCAGGGGGCGACTCCTCTGGTTGTATAGAAGTCTATGAGAAAATGACTCTACTTCTCTCTTGATTTATTACCTCAGTAAACATTGTAAACATGAGTTTATGGTCTCAATCTCTAGTTTCAAGTCTTCTTCAATACAGCATGATGTTCATTTAGTACATTATGGTCCATTTAGAGTCAAACAGACCATAAAGCAGGGGATGCTTTAGGGCGGGGCTACACGGTGATTGACAGGTCTCTACCAGAGACGTATATGGCGTCTCTACGTCACTCCTCTTCAGTCCAGATATGGTCACTTCCAACAAGCACACCCGAAACCTTTTTACAAAATTGACAGTCGGACTTGAACAATTAGCAAAGGACTCAAAGGTGACGAACTCCACTTTGCGTTGTTAATATTTCATGGAAGAAGGAAAAACTAGATAATTAACCTCAGCAAAAAGTATCTGCAGAGTTTGGGGATGTGAGAGCAGCTTCTTCACTCCTCATGTTCCCATCAAACATTGATTCTATCAAAAAGAAATGCTGCATCAGGACTTTCAGGACTGTCAGAACTAGAAGTGACAGGACTAAGGCCCATGATGCAGGATGTCAGTGTTGTGCAGCCCGGAGCTGAGTCCACATTAGTCCGTGTGGACCCGTCAGGCTGCCTAATTGCTTGCTACCTGCACTGAACGCCATTAATCCACAAAGCCTCTTTGTCCTGTCAATGAGTAAATAACCGTCTGGCGTGAAATCACGTCTGCGAGGTGAAACGGCGAAACTTCAGCGTGTGATTCCTCTCCTCTGACTCCATCATTCACTTGTTTGTTTTTCTGGAGCTGGATGCTGAAACGTGAGCTCTGCCCAGGATTCTTGGGTCTGCAGTGTGTGTGTGTGTGGGGGGGGGGGGGGGACCTTGCCACGTTTTGTTTGCTCTTCGCAACGGAAGTGGTCTGTTTGGTGGGGCTGACAGCTCGTCTTTGTGTCGGAGAGCGAGGCCACCATGAGAGAGAGCGGGGCAAAGCCGGTGACAATGATGGACGAGGTGAAACAATCGTGCCCTCCCTCGCTCGCCCGTTTCCCACATTCCTGCCTCCCATGGAAACTGGCTGCTGCCGCCCACCGCCGGCAGGAACACCGGCACCGGCTCCCCAGTGTAGTCACTCTACGGGGGCTGAAGCATTTAAAGGAGCACTCTTGCACAAGTGTACATTTTTAAAGTCACTTTTTCTCAACGTGGTTAGTAACAATAGGCCTGTTGTATAAAGTCTTCTGTTGCTCTGCGGGAACTTTTGTCAAGTCTGAGGAAATAGCCCGGATGATGTCACACTGTGGTGATGTCATCAGGGTTATCTTTAGTTTGGGTTTTGAGACAAAAAAAAAAAGATAATAAATCAATGCAGACTGATAACAGAAAACTGTCCGTACAAACTGGAGGCGTGGAGTTTTGAGGATGTTTGTATTTAATGAAACGATGCTGCTGAGTTGCATTATGGGAAATGTAGGATCCAGTGTTTTTGAAGCTTGACCCATACTAGTAGATTATAAGGACCAGGTTATGCTAGAAGACTACGACATGTGGTCCGACATAGGGTTTGCAGAATTCTGTGAATATTCAAGGTGGAAACTTTCCATAGGAATTAACGTGAAATATATTATTGTGGTTATTTACAGTGTCATATGCAGACAGAAACAATCCTTTTACCATTGTAAGCAGACATCATTATCCTGGTTCCGTCCGAATAAATTGCACATTTTAAACTGCGTTTTACGTTGATTTTGTTGTTGTGAACAAAAGCAAACATTCCTCCTGCAGTCTATTACTCTGGTAAAAAAACATCCCTTCCAGCTGCATCACCCAATATAGACATACCTACTACCGATAACCCTTCACCTAAACAAGTGCCTGGCTGGTTATAGTGCCCCCTAGTGTCAACTAAAATAAATACAAAAGTAAAAACAAAATAATCGAACTAATAAAAGTAGCTCCAACACAGTGAATAGAAACACAATGACAGCCTGTTCCTTTAAGGCCAAAACTATCCTAATGTACATAAACAACCAACATGGCTGCTGTTAGTACCAGGCGGCATCCTCCGGTTCTGCCAAGTGAATCCGATGCCTCATGTGTTAAAGCTGCATTCTCTCTAGTGTCCACCAGGGGGCGACTCCTCTGGTTGTATAGAAGTCTATGAGAAAATGACTCTACTTCTCTCTTGATTTATTACCTCAGTAAACATTGTAAACATGAGTTTATGGTCTCAATCTCTAGTTTCAAGTCTTCTTCAATACAGCATGATGTTCATTTAGTACATTATGGTCCATTTAGAGTCACACAGACCATAAAGCAGGGGATGCTTTAGGGCGGGACTACACGGTGATTGACAGGTCTCTACCAGATATTAGATACGCCGTCTCTACGTCACTCCTCCTCAGTCTGTGGTTAGTTCTCACAGCTGTTAAGCTAACAGGCACAGTGAACGTAGGTCGACAGGTAGCCCGTCCAATCATTACATGCAGGCTGAATTAAATTACTGGACCTATTGGCTTATTACAGCCATGTGACAACAACAGATACCTGAATCTTGTTTGTTGTCAGAGCATTTGATTTATTGATTGCTGTTGGGATGTAAAGGGAATTGCAACAAAATATTATTGAAGAAGATCACCAACCTTAGCTTAAGTCAGTTTTCCCAGAGTCCTCCTGGTTTGACTGCGATCCTCACGGTGTGTTTTCTGCTCAGTGCTGCTGACCTGGGTGAACTGCTCCAGCGTTCGTATGGCCACCAGGATCCAGGACGTCTTCACGGTGGGGAAGCTGATGGCTCTGGGCCTCATCATTGTGGTCGGCCTGGTCCAGATCTGCAAGGGTAACATCCTCAGCCTGTGACCCATAAAGCTTTGCTGCTCCCCTGAAGAAGAAAGAAGCCACTCAAATGTCTGATTTATCTTTCCAGGGAACTACGAGGCGCTGACTCCCCAGGTGGCCTTCGCCATGGAAAGGACGCCAACGGTGGGTCAGATCGCTCTGGCCTTCCTACAGGCGTCCTTCGCCTTCAGTGGCTGGAACTTCCTCAACTACGTCACAGAGGAAGTGGTTGAACCCAGACGGTGAATATACCCACTTTTGTCATCACCTTCTCAACATCTTCCAGCTTCCGACTCAGCGTGTTTGTTTGCTCCGCTTGCTCAGACTGTTGGCGACATTTGGGGCTTTTTTTCAGGGGCAGCTTTTGTATAAATCAAATCTTAAAAGGAATAGTTTGACATTGTTTTTCTGGCAGAGAAGATCGATACCGCTCTCTTATCTGTTCATTAAATATTGAGGTGGCACCAGCAGCCGGTTATCTTAGCTAAGCAGAAAGACTGGAAATAGAGGGAAACAGCTAGCCTGGCTCCGTCCAACAGTAACAAAATCCACCGACCGGCATCTCGTTTGCATGTTGTGTTGCATTTGTTTAATCTGTACAAAAAACAAAGTGTATCATGACAATTTGTCGTTTTACGAGGCAAAATGTGCAGGAATAGTTCTGGGCCCGTTTTAAAACAAATTGTCGGTTTCACACTAACATGAAACATGAACTATTCCTTTCATATCCGTCGTTACATCTTCACTTTTTTTGTGATGTCATGTTTGGTGTGATGTCAATTTCACTTTTAGTTTTACTTTTATAGAGGTGCATAACCGGTGGCTCATTTGCATTTTCTCCCCAGTTTACTCTTAACTATTTTATGAACTGTGTTCGTCGAAGGAGATCCATATTTTCTGTTCATGTATAAACTGATAACAGTTCAAAACAATGAGCCTAGTTATTGGAGAGTTTTGTGTTGGTTGCCATTTACCATTCACACTGGCTGCGTTCTGCCACCGGTTTCTACATGTTATGATTGTGTGTGAACCCAACCTTCATGCATGTTTGATCGCTCTTCTTGGTTTTGATTGTATCATCTGTGCATGGCGTGTGACCACGGTCAGGAATCTACCTCGTGCCATCTACATCTCCATACCATTGGTGACCATTGTGTACACGCTCACCAACATCGCCTACTTCTCCTCCATGTCGCCCGAGGAGCTGCTGTCATCCAATGCCGTGGCTGTAGTGAGTAACGTGGCGATATGACGACGAGTCGCAATTATGCTTCATCTCTCAGATATTTAGGTCAGCGGTGGATAAAAAAAAACACTTTCTAGATCAGGAACAAGCAACCAGTGGTGGAATGTAACCAAGTACATCTACTCGAGTACAATCTTGACATACAGAGTAACGTATAAATATTACATTTCCATTTACACTAGAGGACGAGTAGATCCAGAATTCATACACTTCGATAAGATACTATAAATATCATAGAGTATAAAGTACATGAATATCAGATAAAAGGCAACAAATATAGATTGAAGCAGAACAATTCGTTCGATAAAAACATGTTGTGAATTTTGGAAATTATAACATCTTCATCATCATTTTGACTTCTGGACTAGATCACACGAGCCGGAATCAATCCTATGGAAGCCACCACTGGAATCTAATTCTACTAAAAGTATAACATTGTCTGATCCGCATCGAAATACAACATTAAACACAATGAACAGACGAAGAAGCTGTGCAGCGTTGATTTAGAATTTGAATGTCAACGTCAAACTACTCAGTGCAGCCCTAGAACTGTCCATCTCTCACAGTCATGTCGTGGTGTTTCATCACATCAGTCATTCTGTCTGTCGTCCTGCTGTCCAGACGTTCGGAGAGAAGCTGCTGGGAATGTTCTCCGTCATCATGCCGATCTCCGTGGCTCTGTCCACCTTCGGAGGGATCAACGGCTACCTGTTCACCTCCTCCAGGTTAGAGCTCCTCCCTCATGCTCCCTCATGCTCCCTCATGCTCCTATACTCTGCTTTGATACGGCTGCTGACGGGCCGTCTGATGTTTCTGCCCTCAGGTTGTGTTTCTCTGGAGCCAGAGAGGGTCACCTGCCCAGCCTGCTGGCCATGATCCATTATAAGAACTGCACACCCATCCCTGCCCTGCTGGTCTGCGTACGTACAACCTCACACTGATGATACACCAATGTTTGTGCTTCACTCAGATGATGCATCCGTCTATATACAGTATTTATTTCGATGTTGTCTCTCTTTTTATTGTATGTTTGTGTTTATTTGAATGTCAGAAGGATATTAAAAAACGGATCAATGGAAATTTGGATTACAGATTTGCTAAGGTTAAAGAAATCCATCCATCCATTATCCAAACCGCTTATCTTGTTCAGGGTCGCGGGGCGCTGGAGCCGATCCCAGCTGACATTGGGCGAAGGCAGGGTACACCCTGGACAGGTCGCCAGTTCATCGCAGGGCACATGTAGAGACAGACAAACATTCACGCTCACAACTACGGGCAATTTCGAGTCTCCAAATAACCTAAGCTGCATGTCTTTGGACTGTGGGAGGAAGCCGGAGAACCCGGAGGGAACCCACGCTGCAACAGGGAGAACGTGCAAACTCCACACAGAAGAACCACCCGGGATTGGGGATCGATCCCGGGTGGTCCTTGAAATCAGCGCTTCGAAGTTCACCAACAGGGGCTGTCAAACAAACTTTGAGCTGGCAGTAGCCCGCTAACGAAACAAAGTTAACTAGCTGTGGCTAATTGGCCTTACTCGGCAGAGATGTTCTTCTCGAAGTCAAGAGCGTAAGAACGTAATTATAAGTGTCTTTAGTTAGGTGGCGCGGGGTGTGATATCCCATACTATGTGTGTTGTACTGAACATACAGAAAGCAACCACACGTTTATTTTTGAATTCAAAATGTAATGGTATATTTCCAAAGTATTTTTGATCTTTTAAGATGGAACTCTAACATCTGTGGAGCGCCTTTTTAATATTGATCACATTGTCATGCCTTGCTGTGTTTTTCAGTGCGCTGCCACGATTGTTATACTCTGCATCGGAGAGACACACAACCTGATCAACTATGTCTCCTTCATCAACTACCTATCGTACGGCGTCACCATCGCAGGCCTGCTCTACTACCGCTGGAAGAAACCCAACCTGTTCCGACCCATCAAGGTACCGATACTTCTTTATACCAGTGGTGGAATATAACCAATTACATTTACAAAAGTACTTTACTTAAGTACAAACTTTAGGTACTTTACTTGCGTGTCAGATGGAAATCAGGAGGCAACCTCCAGTTCTGAAAAGTGAAGTCAAAGCTTCGCGTCCTAAAGCTGCATTCTCTCTAGTGTCT